CTTATTGGTAACATGAATAGGCCAGTAATAAGGCCTACCTCTTTAAAGTAGCCAAATAAATATTATGCTTAAATTAGAATAATAGTTAGTGTGCTACTGTCCCAAGTCCTGCCGCAGCAAGTTATAACAATCAGCTCAAAGGTGACTAAGATTTTGGCATAACTATCATTAATTTAGAACTACTAACCATGGAGGAGGGCAAACATGCAACAGCACCTACCACATGGCTACTTTTAACTGAATAACAGTTTTATAGCTCCCTCAACTGAAAGTTTAGAGGCATATTGCAACTTAAATTTTGGACTTTCTACTTCCCAGCCCAACATGTTAACAAGTAGGTCACACCTAGCCCACCTCAACTATTCAGTAATCCACTGTAGTGGGCTAGTGAATGTAGATGGCTGATATTTATTTCTCCAGTACTCACTGTATAACTAGTGGATTGACAGCTAGCTAAACTTAAAACCTATGATAGGGAAGAAATGAACTTTGTATGGTGACTTGTCACTGGATGTATTCCACTGGACAAGTCAATATGTTTATTGCTTTTAAAACTCCAGGTATTGTGAGCATTGTCAAAGCATTAATTAAACAGCAGTTGAAGCCTACTGGTCACCATTTCATCACTCCTGAGACACAAAGAAGCAAGTATCAGAAGCTTGAAATAGTATTTCAACAGGTTTTACACTGCAATCTGACTTTCCTAATGGGACCTGAAGGAATGTGTGCAAATGTAAAATCATTTCACTAATTTCGAGATTTTTACCTGACTGTTTTATTGAACTGAGAGCAAGTTTCTGTTAGTTCAAGTGTAGTTGTTGAGGTAATTCATTATGTTCCTGGAAGAAGTAAAATTCCTTAAGTTGTTCTGTTAAACTTTGGAATTTACATTAAACTTCTATTTATAGTTTGATTAGTTATTTCCAAAAATATCACATTATCATTAATAAATTAGTGTGTAAGCTATTCACATCTTTCTTGAACTGTAGTAATTTTATCATCCAAACTTTTCAGTGCTGTAGTTTTTTGAGAAAGTATAACAGATCCATGTACATCATCTTACTTATCTTGCTTCTGTCCATTGATCTTTCAAGAGAACTCTTATCTTGGATGAGTGTCCTTAGTATGCATGATGTAGTTTTCTTTAATGTAATGGACAATCCTTTTGAAGTCTAAATTTTTTGTGTGCTAGATTTTGTTCTTCCATTCTTTATTCTTTCTTTTTTATCAAAATTTTTGCATTGTAGTTAAGACTATATTGAAAATACTGTCAGCTTTTCTATGACTTGTCAAACCATTTTTAACACAAACTTGGTACATATTAAGCTTTTGAGTAACCATTTTGGGATTGAAAAAATGTGGTACTTCTGTTACAACTTACAGACTGGTATATTTGCTATAGAACCTGAGGATCTAAGTATAATGGTGGTGATGACTGGGATAGTTTCTTTGAAAATTCCCAATCTTACTAATTGATCCTACAAAAGGTCTACTACGACTGTCAAGGTCTCTGTCTTGCCTCTAACATGTTTTTCTTTTATGGAAATCTCAACACTCCAGTCTGTATCACATCTACATGTCCAATGATACTTCACAGGGTTGCAGTAACCTGTGAGTGCCAGAATTTACAAGATCACTTCCATCATCTAGAACAAAAAACAGATGAAGAGATTATAATGGAAAAGTATCACTGGTAGCAAAAAGATTTCAATTCTAACTACCTCCTAGACAAATGGATAGAATGATAAATAAAGAGCTATTCATCTAAATAGACAAGCTCTAATACCATCAAACAACTAGCTAGAAGAAAATTTTGATAACTGTCAGTCACTGGACTCTATTACCTCTTTCATCATTTTAAAACAACTCAATGGAAGTAGGGGTCAAATGGCTAGTTCTAAAGAGTGAAGAGGAAAGTCAAATTTTTAAACTAGCCAGGTATGTTGAATGTCTCACTTATTTGATAATTTCATTAATGTCACTGAGATGATACTAAATTTATTAGACTACAGTAAAATAGGAAACTATAGAAACTGCTATAGAGCTGAAATTCCCCAAAATTGTTATTAGTTTGTTTGCATTTGAATATTCGTGCAAATGTACTCAAGGATTCTGTGCACTAAATGTCTCCAAGTTAGAACTGACAGATTAGAGGGAAGGCAGCTTGCAAACAGCACCCACTGTCAACTCTTTTCTGATCAAATAACAAGATTTGGAAGAAAAAGGAAAAAATTTATATTGTTCGGTTACTTATACCATAGTACATCTTTTGAACTTACCATGAATAATATGAAATACATCTGATATGTTTCAGATAATTACCAAGATGAACTATTAGATAAGTATACTTCTTTCAAACTGCCTTACTGTAAATTAAAACTGAAGTGGCATATCAAACAATGCAATCTTTTCTTGTGTATTTGCAGTTTCATACATGTTTGTTATCATGGGACTGCTAAAATCAAAATGCACATATATCTCTTTGCAAAATATTAATTTACAATATTTTGTTTTACTTCTTTCAATTAAATGGAGAATAATCTCAGCAGTTTGCGGATACATACTACAACAGATCTGGTTGATTACAATAAATTTCTTGTATTTGTTTTTTGTGGCACTTTCAGATACACTAAAAGCTAAGAAGTTATTAGCATAGACTGTAGATACTAAGACCTCTGATTGCTTATGTTAAGTGCTGATGGCTGAAATTCCCAAATTTATAGGAATAATTGGAAAATATTTTTTTACCATCAAATTTGTATTACATGGTTGAGGTCATTATATTAAAACAATTTTGAATACTCAAATTGGCAAGTCACTTGACAATCATAGCTGATGTATAAAGTCATGGTGAGCAGATTGTATCAGAATTATATTTTGAAATAGCTTGGCATTTCATAGGTTGTGTGATGCTAATGAAAACTGAGAAAATTTGTTTGCTTTTGGAAAGGACAGCCCTTTCCAACACAAAATATTCACACACTCAGGTCATAAACATGTGTTCAGATTAGGATTTTAGAATTTTCAAGGTGAGGATGTTTGTCAAATATACTACAATGGGTTGATTAGGTTATAATAAAATGATTTTGGAGCCTCACCCTTTCATTACCGTCCATGTTGCCACGTCCAATAATGCTCTATATGATGACTATGCATCTTGACAACAACCCTGCAGCATAATTTCCATTTAAAAATGCTGTGTCATAAGGCTGTCATGTTCCAAATGCACCCCTACTCTCTGTCTGCTTTCCATATAGTGTATGAAGACAGAGGATACCCAGTGATTTTTTCAACAGTCTGATCACACATAAATCTGGTATGCCTTTTTAAGGAATAGCATGAAAACCCATATAATTCTCCAGCTGCTTGAAGTATGCAGTGGTTGAATAGGAATTTTAACTGGAACCTTATCCTGGTGAACCTATACCCTGTTGAACTTGTTTCCAGATGGAGATCCTTCTTGATTATGTTGTGTACTGTGCCTATTTTTGCCAGTGACCTTTATTACAAGATGACACACTTTGTACCACAGCTAGGATAGGACTTGCTGTACATCTCTTTCTGGGTGTTCCTGGGTGCCCAAGTTCCTTTGTTTTTAATTCATTTAAGTACAAAGGAATAATACTTTCAACACATTCATAAATCTGTGTAAACACATTTTTTGGCTCATTTTGGGTTTAAGAACATATCATGATGGATTTCTTATGTGTTGTTAAAATAAAACACTTTGCGATTTTGGACTTTGATATACAAGAAATGATTGTATTGAAAGAAGACTTAAATAAAATAGATTTGAAAACTTTGGCTGAGTTTTGTATAGTTTTGTTTGTGAGATGGCATTTCTAAGGCATAAGATAACCTACATTGTTTTTTGAGTCACTTTGTTCTGATTCAGGCATATGGATTTCATATTCACTGTAATAACGTTTAAGTAAAAAATTCTATAATAAAACCAAATACAATGACTTGGAATTTAATGTTATCCTTTTCCACCTAAAAAGTGAATGATGAAAAATTAATAATGAAAAGCATAATATTGTATGGAAATCAATGAAAACAGAAATTATTAATGAATAACAAATACATTAAAATGTAATTTTAATTAATTTTAATAAAGTTTGCTAACTACATGCTATGACAGCTGTTGCAATCAAAACATATGAGCAGACTGTAATCCATGCTGACAGGGCGACCAACATACATACATAAAACGGCTATGAAAAGTATGACAATAAAAATTTATGAACATGCAATCATGCTGATAAGGTTAACCACATATATACATAAGAATGGCATGACAGGTGTTACTACACCTGAGGTGTGAATATATTGTAATCTAAGCTGACAGGGTTACCAACATTACATGTAAATACTATGATAAGTGTTATCAAGAAAATATATGAACATGTCGTAATTCATGTTGCCAGGGGTTACCAACAAAAAAAGCCATGGTAATGTTACTACTAAAATATATAGACACGTAATCCACACTAACAGAGTATACTAATATAGATATGTTAGAAAGCCATGATATATTGCATTATTAATAAAATATACGAAGATGCTGAGAACGGTTATTAACATACTTATGTAAGAATGCCATGACAGATGTTACTATCAAAATACATGAAGATATCATTCTAATGCGACATGACATGGATTACAATGAAATATCATTTTTATACATGATAACATCAGTTATAATCATATTCTAAGACGTTATGAGGGAAATCAAAGAAGAATATGTAATAATATTTCAACCAAAGTACATCTATTTGCCTAGTCCAGTGCTGACAAGGCCTTTCATCCAATATCAGACCTCATCAGGCTGGCTGGGATATGACAGATACAACAGTTGTCTGGGCATTATTTATATCATAAATTTCATGAACAGCAAATGTTTTTGTGTGAACTAAATTAAGTCAATGAACTGTAATCTACTGCAAAAAGGTTACAAAAACAAAACACTAATATGTTATTGTAATCCACACTGGCAGCAATTATCAATCTTATACATACTGTTTTAATTCACATTGACATCAGTTACAAATGAATCCTTACAATCCATGAGGATATAGATTACATGTCAAATACAATAACATTCTATCATAATTCTGGTTTCACTGAGTTATCAAAGCATGTCATTAATGTCTGTATATAAGGTGACAGTGATTACAAACTATTAGTGTAATTCACACGGACATGGCCTAAAAACTATCTGAAATAACCCTCTTTACTGGTGTTTGAAACTCAAGATTACTTGTTACTTTAATATTATCAACACTTCAACTTACTGCATCAATGTCACTGGAATCCTGCTTTCTATAAACATGCTAATAAATCCTGATTACATCTGGTCTGAAGGTTCTAGTTCACCATGAATACACATTTTTATCACTTTTTTTTATTGGGTTGCTATAAAAAATATTATGAAACAAAGTGGAAGAAAAGGTCTCAACTTGTTTGAGAGCAATCCAGAAAATAAATACAAGTCAATTACACTGACACCATAAAAAAATGTGTGTGAAAAGTATCTTTAACTGAAAACTAACATCATAAAACATTGTGTGCAGCTACTTCAAAGTACATAAAAAACTCCAGTTTAGAAAGTTAGGGAAAACTTAAAGCACTATTATTTTATTTTCAATGATTTTATATCAATATCTTATACTAAAACAATAGAGCAGAATGGTATTAATGGATGCAGAAAATAACATTGAAATCTTCAGTGTCAAATATTAGCTACAAATAAAAAAAAGCAATACTGCAGGGGAGCCACTTGTTTCATAAATGAAAATCTTTATACATATATATATATATTAATTCAAACACCAACTTCAAAAGTAATTGTGAATATGACACAAGAATATTTTCTTTCAAACATAAAAACTGAATGAAAGAGATAAGAATAGATGAATTACCATTTAAGAAATTTTGAATACCAAAGAAAGACTAAGACTATTAAGTATTTCAGAAAATTTTATGTATATAAATTTATACACAATTACATATTTGTTTAAAAGCAATTAGCTCAAGCAATCTCTTTTATGTCCATAATTTCTTTCAGTAAAAATGTAGTTTTGAAGCTAACAACAATCTTACTTCAAGCATTATGTGATTATATACACAATACACATAGTTTGTATTTTTTAATATACATGCACACATCAAAATAGCAGCCTTTTTAACCTTTGCTAAAAACATGATGTTATTCAAAAAACCCTCTTTTAATATATTTGTTAATATTCTGCTATTTTGGTAAAGAGACTCATCATATTTGTGTTATGCAGTTTGCAATAAATGTTCCTTTATACAGATGCACTTCATGACATAAGATCAAATGAGATTTGATAACGAGCTTCTATGTCCGAATCTTCTGGTAGAACTTCTATACTGCTGTTTTCAACACTACTGTTTCCACTAGGAGGACTGGCATTAAATCGGTCTAAGGTGGATGAAGTCTTGTTTATTGGAACTGGGACTGAGGATGAATGTCTGATGTCTTCTATAGGGGCTGAAGCTGTTGATGGTGGTAGAGATACTATACTTGACACAGGAGAAGGAGGAGCTGGAGCTTGGATTCCCAAGATGTCTTGAAGACTTTGTGGCAGATGTTGACACTGACTTAGCTGAAGGTAAATACTTTCTGCTCTACATAAAACTTCTTCTGGGTTGATTTTGTAAGACATGTCATTTATGTGCTGACAAACAAATTAAAGTACAGATTAATAAACATCACTATACAGAAAATGAAAACATTAAGATATTGTTACTGTGGTTTAAAAAGATGAACAGTGTACTACATTATATGTAACTGAAGAACTAGTCTTCCAAGTGGTAGGTCAAATTTACTGGCTTCAAAACATACAAAGTGAAGTCACTGTCATTTTTTTTTCAGAACAACTTTCAAGTCCATAAGCTGAACAAATAAAAACAGTATTTGTTTTGAAAGATAACTACAACTTTATTTAAATGCCATGTATGTACAATATGTAATATCAACTTATGCAAAGCATCATCTCACACATTTCACTACAAGTAATGAAATAAAGTTTCTCAACTGAGTATATTCTATGAAAACTTTGGCAGTAATGAAAAGGATCTTACTACTAATGAAGGAATAAATTGTGGATTTGTTTTTTTTTTTCAGTTACACTAAACAGATGAAAAATACATGGAAAACCAAAGCAACATGATCAATAAACAAATGATCGAGTCTGTTACAATACACAAATGGTAATACATATTATACCTGATGATGACAAAACCTTGTCGAAACGTTGTACACTTGCTGTTATGTTAAACTTATATTAAAGTTTTGCTTCATTACCCATTCAAGCCGTCTCCAGCCATTATTAGTCTCAAAGTGGGTTCCTTGTCATCAAATTTTGTAAAACATAACAATAAAACAAGTATTTTTTTTATTACAAGTTACAACTTTTACAGTAAGGAAAATAAAAGCTGTAACTTGTAATAAAACATAAATAATCAGTAAGCAAACTCAAAATGAAACTATTAAAACAAATCTTTGTTTTATGTTGCACAAAGTTACTTGAGCTGTTCTTAATTTTGAAGTGATAAGACTAAAGGGAAGGCAGCTAGTTAATATCACCCACTACCAACACTTGGATTATTTTTTGCCAGTGGGAATAGTGGGATTGACCATAACATTATAATGCCCCCTAAGCTAAAAGAGTGAGAATGTTTGTTGATGGGTACAAAACAAATATATACTTTCTCTTGATTATGTAAACTATTTATACGTTAACAGCCTTTTCCAGTATCTGAATATTCTTGAAAACTATTATTAAAAAAAAATTCCAGGTTCATCCTAAGCTTCATCTTCTGAAGGAAAAAAAAAAGTTAAAAAAAAACAACAACCTGAATCACAATAAAAAAAAATAACTTAATGAAATATTTGGTTATTTTCACCCTCTCAATGTTAAAAGTAGAAATTGAAAAAATATTAGGGTTAAATATTAGACTTTTTGCAGAAAGTTAAAAGGAAATATCATCATTTACACTCAAATTTAGGAACACTGACTGAATTTTACCATAGTCCTAAAAAAAAACCCTACAGACATTTCAGATGAGTGATGTTCTCTTGTTACAGCTGTTCATCCTATCTCTTTCAGAACCCACTGCTATATTCCACTTTTCTCTTTCATTGTTTGTTTTGCCACCCACCATCTCTTCAATTGTAGATGGTACCTAACTTACACCTCTTCTTTTTTAGTAAGTGTATTTTGCAAATTTCGCTTTTCATGCTTCAGCTAACAAACTTTTCTTTTTCTCACCATCCCTCCCCATTCTTCAGTCCTTACTTGAAGCATTCACCTCCAGCACCACATCTCCAAAGCTGTCACCCTTTACATGTCATTATCCTTGAGTTTTTCAAGAGAATTACATACAAGTACTGGATAATGGCTAATAACCATTGTAAATACAATGTTTCAGTCATCGGGGCAAATTTAACTTGAACTTTCATTGTCTCACAGTTAAAAAAAAATACATTCTGAAAGGTGAAAAGTTTGTTTATGGAACAATAATACACAGAAACTTATATGATATGCATAATTAGACCAAAAGGAAGATATAAATAGCTACATTTAGCATTTGGATTTTCTTTTACATTTTGAATCAACACAAAATAAGTCACATGTTTGAAAACACTTCCACATTTGCTAATGTCACTTTGAGACTCATACCAATTTGCTGTGATTGGTCAGTTTTCATTTGTCTGATGGCATCCACATGACTCAAACAATGTTTTTTGAGATCTTGCCATGGTTAATGAATAACATGGAGCACTTTAACACTGTGATTTACTTTGAGGTAGTAAGTAAAGCAAGATATTGTGAGAAGACCATTATACATACAGCTAGGTTAAATGACCAATTATTTCAGATCACATGAATGATTATCAGATGCCTGATTTGCATAACATAAACTGAAGGAGATGACTATCATTATAACAGTGGTTTTCCTTGTCATAACTATACTTCTATATCATTTAGTTAATTTTTGCAGTGGGCTAAAAAACATTGAAATTCCACTCAAAGTCAATTTACTACAATTCAGTCAAAAATCCATTTAGCACCCTTCATACAGTAAGTATTTTTCAATGCATATTATTTATTAGTAATGCATCATGGAACAACAATATTTATAAATGTAGCATAAAAATAACTTTTACAACAACTTTCACTTAGATAGCTTAGTAAGTCAGTTATTCATTCAATAGTCATACTTTTCCCATCTTTTACACTTACATAAACTGCATTACTCTATCTGAAAATCAGTTCTAAATAATACTGTATTTATCATTTGAATGGATTACAAATATGAATGTAACAGATGAATTTCTATTTCCCAGAGAGTTATTGTCAACCTGAGAACATTTATATTAGTAGTTACCACATCAAAATATTTATTAAGGAAAAAACCATTACTTAACTTTAAAATGCATAATTTTTATTTCATACAAATATCAGGTGTGTTTCACCTACCTTTAATATCTCTGGAAGTCCAAATTGGTTCTCCATTAGTGTATTTTTTTCAGCATCCAAAATAGCCAAACAGATCAAAAGATGAAAACTTCTACAAGGCAGTCCAGTCCACAGCACCTAAAAAACAACAACAGTATATGTTGAAAATTATATGATTTGGTATTCCTTCCTACTTTACTATCATAGAGTCAATGGAATAATTTTTAGTTTTAATTTCTTAATTTCTAAATTTTTGGGAGAATAAAATAAAAAGATTATCTTAAGAATGCTACACTGAATTATTTTATCATTCAAATTTCACAAGGTAATAATGTTATTACTTCTTCTAAAACTACTTACACACTAGAACAGTGGTTGTGTTAAGGCACTTTGCATGCTAGATACAAAATAAATCAACTGGATGAAAATAAACTCATCCTGCATTCATGGGATGTATAAAAATGACAAAGGGAAGATAAGGAAAGATGCATATTAACCCTTTCCAGACTGGGTGGTTGTCTTTGATATCCCTTGAGTTTTTCCTTCTGACAGTGGAAATAATTAACCAAGTTGAATGAAACTTAGTATCAAGTTGTTATATATTTCAATAGTATTTGTTGTAAGACACTGTTTTAAAAAAAAATGAAAGGTCCTGATGTCCATTATTTCAACTACAGATGTTGGTTGAAATTTTCAGTAGCACAGACAGGGGCAAGTTCCGACTTTATATATGCATAGTAACTTCATTTCAGACACAAGGTATCAGTGCTCTTTAAAGTGTATATTCACATTTAGGATAATTTCCATTCTGTTAGTGTGTTTAACTCTTGCTTTTTATTTATTATTATTATTTTACTTTTTAATTTGTGTCTTAATTTTTTCATTAATTTTTGACTAATTATGACTGAAAATAAAAATTTAAGATGATACAATGTTACTTATTCTGTAATTTAGTTCTGAGAATTTTGTTTTACACAAATGCAAAACAAGTTCTACAGTTAATACAATTCAAACCTCACTGCTCAGGATTATTTTTTATTCAAATCTGAATTAAAATTAAAAAATAAATTTAAGTATTAAGAAATGAAAAATATTTTAATAAAACTAGTTTTACAACTTGTATGAATTAAACTTAATAGAATTGTATTTTAAATTATTAACAAAAGTAATATTTTTTAAAATTAGTTAAAGAACTGTCAACACAAGTTTTATGAAACTTAAAAAGGGAGAGAGAGCTTTTTAAATGAAGGGGAAATTTCTACTGAGGCTTGAATTTTTGTTCATAATATGCAGGCTTTCTTTTATCAACAGTTCGTGATAATTACATCCAGAAGTCAGAATTGAAAAGTCTTCTAAGGAATATATAGGAAAGTTAGGTGGAGTTTGAAGTTTAAGTCCAGTTCTGTTAGAAACTCCCATATGTTCTAAGGTGTGTATTTGTAAATGGTGAGAAGTTTTGCCTATTTATGGAGGTTTTACAGCTACCTTTGAATGTGAGAGTGAAAGTGT